ACTGACGAAAATTTTTTAAACTAAAATAACATAAGAATTTTTAAAATGTAATTTGGTTTCAAAAATTATAGTCACTTCTGGTTACCGGAAGTGAAAAAGAAATTGTAACGGTAGTATTGTGTATTATCTACTTAAAAGTGACAAAGATAGCATAGGTAGTTAAGTAAGAAAACTCTTTACAAGAATACTATGATTAAGAAAAATCATTTGCCACTAAATCTTAAAAAAGAAGAAACAATAAAAAGACTGAATTATTATAGTGCACAAACACCGTCTAACTGATTGATTTCCGAGCTGGTTGCCACGTCATTGGTTTAGATTTCCGGACATTTTGAAAGATATACCACTCTTCCTTAAAAGAAACTTTGAAGTTGGATAATAAATACTCTGGCCAGTATTTGTATTTGTTGATTTTAGCCGTTTCCAAAGGACCCCGCATAAACCTTATGGGTATGAATTCTCAAGGCACTTTCATTCGAAATATCTCTAAAATAGGGGTAGAAAAACTAAAACATTTATATCTTAGGTTGTTATGAGATTGTTCACCTGTTTGGAAGCATTCTGTACGGCTAAGAGCATGTGTTGAAAAATCCTCGAGCCGTGTCCACCTGGAAACACCCTTCAAATAGGGGTAAAAAATGTTTAGGATTTCTACACATATGCTCTTAGCCATATAGAATGATTTATTGAAATAAAAAAAAACGTGGATAATCTCGTAATAACTTGAGATATGAATATTTTAGTTTTTCAACCCTTATTTTGGGGGAGCCTCGGGGGTAGAGTTGATTTCCATTCCAGATACATATTATGAATACTTAAATTGATCCAAACCCGATAAATAATACAAGAATGGATAATAGTAATTTTCAAAAGTGTTCCTTTCCATTTTCAGGTTCATAGAAATATTCAATTGTTTGAGACTTTGCGCCCTCGATATCTCGAAAACTGTTAATATCCGGACTTTGGGCCTATAAACACTTTTGTCAAGTACAACATATCAAAAATTCAAACGAATCGACCGGAAACTAGAACCCATTGTGTGGGTCCTTCCTTTCAGGAAGTTCTAGGCACTTACCTAGGTTGGAATTATTACGATTTTTCTGAATTTCTATTCCTTTTTTGTAGAGCTTTGACCAAAATCTTCTCCCTTATTAGAATATTGATATTACTTAGACCCATCGCATGACCTGTATCTGCCCTGTTTCGCAATTGCTGATTTATCTCCGTTATCATTCCTCAGTGTTCTTTTACCTCTTGTTAACATGTTTCTGTATTTGTCCAAAATACACTTTGTCACATGTACATGGGATCCAGTATATTAGAGACTTGCATGGTTCTGCAGCCCGTCTTGGGAATTTAACCGAGAATTTCTTGGGATTTCATCAAACACCCTATAAAGAAAAAAGTTATAGGTCAGTGATTTCAAACCCACTACCGGGAAAACTCGGGCCGATAATATTTAGTTTCAGAGTTTCTTTGGAAGAACAGGGTCTAAAAGTCTAAGTTCAACCACTAAGTTCAATAACTGCCAATACCATCTAATTTATCGATAGTATAATACAGTATAACAATACATTTACATAAATACACACTGCTTTGCACTTATTTAGATTTATTTCATTGGACGTCTGCTACTCACTTTTAAAGTAAAACAACTTCATTTTGTTCCACATTTTATCTGGTTTTCTAAAAAGCCTAGTGATTCATATTATTTTTGGAAAAAGTAGAAGAAAAAAGTAAGTTATTTTAATAATATTTAAATTTCGACTTAATTGAGAAGTGTGTTGTTTAACAGAACAATCTGTATAATATCCACACGTAAAATTTGAAAAAGCTATCCATTAACGTTAAAAGAATCTCATTTGATTCAACTGTCAAAATGGTTATAAATTGAATAGAATCGCTGAAATAGAAATTATAGAGTTTGCAAATAAAAATTCGGAAACCACGACAATGTTAAAAACATTATTATCAGTCACAGGCCAGAGAAAAACGTATATTTTTTGCTCTGCGTTCTCAACAGTTAAACATAATTATAAAAAATAATCGTCAATACAAGTACCTTTAAATTATACTGATTTCTATCAATACTCCCTTCATAATAATGCTCTTAACATTGTTTTAGTTTGGACCTTTAACAGTGAATGACCCACAATACGAGTATTATAAGTAATTTTGGAAAATCTGAAAAATGATTTTAATTCGGTAGATAACTGTTTGACAGTTGAAATCCCTTAAATCTCATTTAATTCCTAAGCCATTTGTTAGTTTTATTTAAATTTTATTTACTCTTTTTTTTATTTAATTTGATGCGTGGAACCAATAATAAAAAATAAATAACACAGGTCAACAAGGGTCAAGAAGCAGACACACTAATATGCATTCCCGAAGGATTTTGGCGCGCTGAATCCGAATCTGGCAGCAGAATTGCTCTATCACATGAAGTTTTTGAGATATCCTATCCTAAAAGTGCAAAAACACTATTTTTCGTCATATTTGAGGTTGTGTAATAATGCCATCTATTCTTTTTACAAAAAAATACATATAATTTAAAAGTACAAGGCTCCCTCTTTCGAATGCCGTTGAGTTTGCTCAAATATCTTTTTTTTTCGTTGAGATATCACATGTTGAAATTTCTCAGTTTATCAGTTTCTTAATATGCGAAAATCTACTAAGGATCCCTTAGACGTCAAACAATTGATTGCAGTTCAGAAACTTCATACTCAGAAACCTTCAATACATACGAACTCAAACTCACAAACTCAAAATCCACAAATCCACAAACCCCAAACCCACAATCCCTAAACCCACAAACCCCAATCCCACAAAACCCGATGCGACAAACTCCAAGCTTACAAACCCCAAGATCACCAACTCCAAACCCACAAATCGCATGGGTATGAAGTTTTTGAATTGCAATCGACTGCTCGATGTCTAAAGACGGTTTTCCACTAAACGGACAAAACAAAAACAAAATACAAACTTGTGTCGAATAAAACAGAACTGTAACTTTTCGCAAACTTTTTGAAGACTGGCGTGTTTTGCGACAGTTGGAGTTTTGTTTTTTGGGTCCCGCTTCAAAGAGGCGGTTTTCCACTAAACGGACAAAACAAAAACAAAACACATACTTGTGTCGAATAAAACAAAACTGTAACTTTTCGCAAACTTTTTGAATACTGGCGTGTTTTGCGACAGTTGAGTTTTGTTTTTCGGGTCCCGCTCGAAAGCGGTCACATCAAAAGGTTTCGACGTGTTTTGAAACTCAAGTCTGTTTAGTGGAAACGGTCGTGTTGTGTTTTCTATTTAAGTGATTCAATCCAATATCTATGTTGGCGTTTTCTTCTTCCCAAAAACGATATTTTAATCATTAATGAATTATAGCTATTAAAAAATATATATGGGTACGGTTAAAGTGTTTACTTGGCTAAGATACAAACTAACCAAGTAAACACTTTAACCGTGCGTATACCACGAACTCCATCGATGGATATCTGGGAAACCGCTATATTTTTTTGAAATTGTGATGGCGTGATACGGACTGTGGAGCCTACCAAGCTAAAATATTTTCAAGGTCATCGTATTTCCGGTTATACCGGAAGTTGATACTAACTTTCTTATTTTAAATGGAACCCCTTGTATATTATTGCAAAAAAATTAGGGGTTTCCATTTAAAAATTTCGAGTTTTCCACATATTCTGAACTTCATATTCGATAAAAAAAATTTGACCACCCTGTATAAAAACTGGAAAATTTTCATGTCAAATTCGATAAAGTAGGTCTTCCTCTACAAAATATCCAATTAGCACAAAAAAATAAACCGGGAAAACTAAATTTTGCTGATAGTCTGCATCTGTCAATTTTTGTTTAAAAATCGAAATATCTCGGCAACGGTCAATCCTAAGTATGGAGTGTGCTATGTTTTCAACTTAAAAATGGATGATGTTTCCAAAAATGCAATAATATATAGGGAGTTCCATTTAAAATAAGAAAGTTAGTATCGACTTCCGGTGTAACCGGAAGTATGATGACCTTGAAAATATTTTAAATTGGTGGGCCCCACAGTCCGTATCACACCATCACAATTTCAAAAAAAATCGTTAGAGCGGTTTCCCAGATATCCATCGATGGTGTTCGAAGTGGGACACTCTGTAGACACATTTTTTTTTCCAAGGACTTCAGTATAAACCAGCCATAACTAAGAATAAAAATATGTTCTGACTTCCTCGCGACAACCAGTGGAAAAGGACTGAAAACAAAAACAAAACTCGAACAAAATGTAGCCCGCTTGATGGAAACAAGAGTTTTGGGTTTGTTTCAGTTTTGTATTTGTTTTGTTCTAGAAAACACAAACAGGACATAAATTCAACTGTCCGTTTAGTGGAAAACAGCCATAAGAGATCCTTAGTAGATTTTGCATATTAAGAAACTGAGAAACTTAAAAATTTACACGTAATATCTCAACGAAAAATAAAAAAAATTGAGCAAACTCAACGGCATTCGAAGGAGGGAGCCTTGTACGTTTAGATTCAATGTATTAGTTTTTTTTTAAAAGAATAGATTACTACATAACCTCAAATATGACGAAAAACAGTGTTTTTTGCACTTTTAGGTTAGGATATCTCAAAAACCTGACGTGATAGAGCAATTCTGCTGCCAGATTCGGATTCAGCGCACCTAAATCCTTCGGAAATATATATTCAAGTTTCTGCTTCCAAACAAAAGTTAAATTTTGTTGGTCTGTATAATTAATCATAGCCAACTGTACGAACACAAATAACCTAAAGCACAGAAGCAAACGTCCAGTGCAATGAATTTATTGTATGAAACGCACAAAATATTATTTTAACAATTTTGGCGATTCGCTAAGATATTAACAGGTTGTTCTAGGCTAATGTGTCATCGAAGGTAATTTCACAGAAAACCTCTAGCAACTGTCATTAAAACAACAACTCCAGCATGATGTTTTCCATAAACTTTATTTCCACGATTTTAATTTTTAGGGTACGCAACACCCTTATCATCATCGAGACCAACCAGGAGGTTTGGTGCTCCCAAAGTTGTCGATGCAGCCGCCGAAAAAGAAATGCAGCAACTTCGGGAAGCCAGGGCTGCCCGTTTGGCATTTATTCAAGAGGAAGAGAAGAGGGAGAAACCATCTACCGACGTAGAGGACGCTGTAAAGGCGAAAAAGAAGCAGGAGGAAGAGAGGTTAGCGGAAGAGAAGTGAGTGCAAAAATTGGCACAACTTTTTGGTTCTAAATTTTCATTACTTGCACTACATACCCAAATAAAAACAAATGAAAAGTCTGTTATAGCAAATATCTAATAGTTGAAAATTTAGTTACAATAACCAGTTAGGTTAGTGATATTTTTTTTTAATCTTTTCAGATGACACTAATTATACAGGATGTTTTTCCATACTTTCTGAATACATTTAGTCAAAATTAACAAAGAAAGAACAATTGTTATCAATATATATAATCTAAATATGATCATGAAACATAGATTTTGATAAATTTTTCAAGAACTGCAGAGTTTGGTAGAGAGGTGCGATATTTTTGCGATCGATATAATAATAGTAGTGGAGGGAATAACAGTACTGGAATATCTGACAGGTCCTCGTTAGTAGATGCCAGTGAAGATGTTAGAATCCAATTTCGCAGAATTCTGCCAGCTGAAAGTTAAGGCTCTTTATTAAAAAAACTAACTCTAGAAAGCAATATCAGATGCCATAATATGAAAAATTCCACCAAGTTCCTTCATAGTTCCATAAGTTCTATAGTTGTTAACTTGTATTTTAATAATTAGAATTCTGGTAACTTATTTTATATAAAGGACACTATATCAAGTTACAGTGGCTCTATACAAGACAGTGGCGATAATAGCGATTAAACCCCGCCCATCCGCCATGTTGCATCCAATGTCAAATTAAAAGTAACTTTTATAAAATATAAATTAAAGACAAGAGTATTTTTCTTATAAATTTTACGCACAGATTTTAAGCAAGTAACTCCCTTGCAAAGTGATTTTAAATAATGAATTAATGTAGAATCTACTTGTGCAATAGGGGAGGACAAATATATATTAGTAGCAACTATTGGTTTTTATTTTCTAGGCAAGTAAAATTAAGCTTACTTACATTACACAATGAAATTTATTGAGTTTACATTACAAAAATAAATACTTACTACTATTTGTTACAATAAATGTCCAGCAACACTTTTACTTGCAAGCTTTTTTATGCTTTTTGGCATTCTTTGGAAGCTATGTTTAATCGGAACATAATAAATCTTTTAACAATATTATATTTGATCTGATGACAATTTGGTAGATCTAAATTTAAACCAGACATTTCTTTTAAGAAAAACTCTTTTAAATTTATGTTTTGTCAAGATACAATCGCAAAAAATGTTGTAAAACACTTTCCATCTGCAAGAAGAAATAAAATTACCACTTCATTGGAAAAAAGAGTGCATGTTCTCTAAATATCTTAAGTACGGTAAATTTTGAAAATGTTTTATAAATCGGCGTTTTAGAACTAACAGCGTGTACACAGTTTGTACAAGTTTTTGATGTTTTAACGATACTTTGAACAATATATCCGTACACATTATAAAGAGAATTTAATTCACTAAAACTAAGATTAAATTTTGGTTCTTCTATGGTAGCAGGAACCTTAACTTCCTTAGGTGTTATATTTTTTGTTATAGTGTCCAAAAAACCTGAAAGAAATTCACGGTTGTCGTCCTTATAGGAACTTCTGCAAACATTATAACTATCCCTTAGCACAGAATACCCAATATAGTATCACTAATAATCACCAAAATTAAAATAAAACAATACAAATATTGAATAACACCATAAGAATGCTCCTGACACCATGACACATCACAGATGAATTTGACACTGGATGCAACATGGCAGCTAAAATCACGTGGACCAATTAAAAATGATACACTCTATTGTCGCCACTGTCTTGTATAGAGTCACTGTATATCAAGTTATATGGAGAGATTACTAGAATATAAATTGCAAAATTTCATATACAGTTGAACTGTTGGATCTTTACGTTCACGTCATCAAACAGTCGTATGAACTAGATTTGAAACGAGTTCAAGTCAGTGGTTGTAATCATGAATGTTCATTTAAGAAATAGTGAGGATTCTCATTTGTATAATGAAAAATGTTTTGTGATTTTTTGTATCATAACAACATATTAAAATCCACTAAAACCAAACAAACTTAACCTCGATTTACTGAAACAATCACAGAACTGACAGAAACTCCATGTGTGACAACAAAGTACGTAGGAAACGATGTTAGTCAAATATTTTACACTACATTTTAAGCAACTACAATATGTCTGACTCTTTCTCAGTCATCCGGGAAAATTAATAACCTCTGTCGGAACTAAATAGTATCAGTCGCATAACACATGAACGTGATTGCTTGTCTTTTTCTGTCATTAGTTAATTCACGTTGATCAATAATTGAACATTTGTCTTTTATATTGATGTATGTTGATGACGTGAACGTTAAAGACCAGCGGTTCAACTGTATACCTAACTAAATACACTTCGGGGAAACATATTTGTTTTTGTATAGCTATATATTATTATGGAGTGAATATTTGTCATCTCAAATAATTGTTAATATACACTGTGGACCATTTTGGTGAACATAATACAGTGCTTTCGAAAAGTAACGAATAAATTCATTATTTTTTAAATTGAGAAGTTTTCGAAAAAATCCCCTGGCACGTCGATTTTGTTTTTAAAAAAGACACTTTTTGACATACGACCCATATTTGTGACGTCATCGTTGTTCGAGATATGACGTCATCGACAATTTTTTTAAATAACAACCCCCAATTTTGACCATGCCATTTGAAAGAGCGTGTCATTCTACACACGCATCGTCAAAAATCATGGTTGCCTGACAGTAGCCTTAGCGACAGAGAATGTTTTTTATTGCTGTCAGATAAAAACTTGAAATCGTACTTTATTAAATAGTTTTTTCGTTTTTTTGAGTTATTTCTTTAGTTCTTATATTTTGTTTGGCAAAAGCAGTGCGTTTGAAGTGTTTATTGAGTAGTAACTTTGTCATTTTATAAAAAAAATGGTTCAATTAACTGAACGAGAACGAATTGAAATTCTTTGCATGATCGGATTTGGAGACAAGATGCGCACCCAAAAAGAAGTAGTTGAATTGTTCAATGAAACTCATCCTGATCGACATCCCATTAGCCAAAGCATGGTAAGCAATATTGATATTGATACCGTAACTTTGGACATGTTCGTGATCTTCCTAAATCTGGTCGACCGTCAAAATCGGTAGATGATGAGCTTAATGTTTTGTTGGCAATACAAGAAAATCATCACTCAACACTTAACCAATTGGCTTCTGATTTCAATATGGCAGCGTCCACAGTTCACAAAATTATAAAAAAGCAAAGTATCATCCTTATAAGGTATGCCTTGTTCATGAGTTATCTGAAGACGACTTTGATCGGCGAAATCAATTCTGCGAGCAAATGCAAGAACTATGCAATAATGATAATAATTTCGTAAAAAACGTAATTTTTTCTGAAGAGGCTACGTTTGTTTTGAACGGCCATGTCAATAGGCAAAACTGCCGTTATTGGGCTGCCGAGAATCCCCGATGGATGATGGAGTATCACACTCAAAGTCCCCAGAAAGTAAATGTGTGGTGCGGCATAGTCGACGGAAGAATTCTGGGTCCCTATTTCTTTGACGTCAACCTAACTGGTGCAAAATATTTGGATTTTCTTCGAGACGACCTCATTCCTGAACTAATAACTTTATATCCAGATATAGAGGGACATGATATTCCAAGAAATGACATTTTATCCGTGCTTATTTGGATGAGCTGTTCCCGAATCGTTGGATAGGGAGAAGGGGCCGATTTGACACCCTTAGATTATTTCTTGTGGGGATACTTAAAAAGCAAAGTGTACGTTACTAGACCGGTTAATTTAGAAGATTTAAAAGCAAGAATTCGTCACGAGATACATCGTATACCTCCTGAAGTTATTGATAATGTCCAAAAAGAATTTATTAATCGTCTTGGCTACTGTCAGGCAGCCAACGGTGCACAATTTGAACATTTAATTTTGTCGATTTTTACATAATTTTCAGTATTGTGAAAATTAAATTTTAAAATCTTCAAACATTATTTTCTTGAAATTTTTGTTATGTAACACCATAATTTTTCATGATGTGTATGTAGAATGACACGCTCTTTCAAATGGAATGGTCAAAATTGGAGGTTGCTATTTAAAAAAATTGTCGATGTCGTCATATCTCGAACAACGATGACGTCACAAATATGGATCGTATGTCAAAAAGTGCCTTTTTTAAAAACAAAATCGACGTGCCAGGGGATTTTTTCGAAAACTTCTCAATTTAAAAAATAATGAATTTATTCGTTACTTTTCGAAAGCACTGTATATTGGTACCTTGGAAACTTTAAGAGATAGGAAAATGATTAAATGGGGAAAGTTTTAGACAGTGTTTTTGAAATATTTTCTTGCTTATATTATATCATTAAAAAGCCAAAAGAATACTCTATTTGATCAGCTTAAAATTCAATATGACGCCCATAAGAAAAAAGAAAGTTAATGATGGTTTCTCGCAACCGAAACATGGCAATAAAAATCTAAATATACAGTAAAATTCCTCGAAAAAACTTGCTGTGAGAAAGTGTTTTCAGATTTTAAAAATTTGACTAATTCATGCATCCAAATGGTCCACACTGTATATGTATATGCTTGAAAAGTAGATGGACAACTTTATCATCCGTTTCAAAGAATACTTGGACAAAATCAGTAGTCATTTGAATGACGCCATTTAGTGCAGTTTTTTAAAATCGTCACATCTGTTTGCCGAACACTGTATTTAAATGTTGAATTTGGTAGCTCCATCATGATAACGACATACGTATAAAATTTAAACAAAAACTAACCCCCTAGCATCGGAATTAGGGAAACGATGGAGTTTCATTTGTCAAAGGAAAGATATTTGGCTTCGCATAAAGTCTTCTTTATATATTTCCAATGAAAATTACAGAACGCACCTTGGACATTTTTAGAATGTAGCTACTGCCAGGGAATTAGGTATCTGCGCTGAGATAAAAGCCTATAATTTCATTGGTTTGAGTCACTGAAAAAATTACTTATTACCTCAAATCTTCCGAAAGATCGTAGAGCCTATAAAATCCATCTTGTTTTGTTAATTTTGACGAGCGGAATGAATTCTGAAAATTGGTCTGAAGGTCGCTATTACACCCTATATATCTACAATATATTGTCAAAAAGTAGTTTGATATATAAGTAAAAGCGCACTTACACAGGTTACTTTAAATAATCATTACAGATCATTCAAAGTGAATTAATTGCGACTTAATTTGATATTTACACATTGTACTGAAAGGGAAATACTTGTTCAATATTCAGCTCGTCTACAATTTTATGTAAGAATTTGCCCCCATTTGCAGCATTTTGCATGTTCAAAGTGGTCGAAATGAGTCTCTCTGAGGTGGGATTTTATTTTGAAGAGAAAGTAGGGGATTGTAGGGGACTAGGTGGGAGCAGTATTGTTGTTTTGAAAAGCGTTAGAATAGAGCGTTGGAACAAACAAAGCTGTGTGACAGGCGTCGTGATGGAATATCCGTGATGCGCCGAACTCGGAAGGACCTCTCAAACTTCTAAATAAAAAGTCTCATTAACTGCGTCTCGGCGGGTATAAATTCTTTGCGAATGACACCTCTTGAGTGAAAGAACATAATCTCCATCGACTACATTCGGAATTATAAAACGGAAGTGTATCATCTGCAATTTTGCCGTTTACTCTCTGGATCGTACTCGGACATCCAAGATTAGGCACGTTTGATCTCTCTACTCAGTCCGCTTCTTTGACAAATAATGATTGATGTCCTCATTTCGATAGCCCCATTTCAGAAACAATGGCTCCGACGGTCAAATGGCTATCTGTGTCAGAACAGCTTTGACGTGGACAATATTTTCTCGTCTTCAACGTTTTCTCTTCCATCTTTCCAACTATTTCAATCGTCAATTCACCCCTCCTTGCTTATTTCCCTCCTCGACTGATTTAAGGGAGATCTTAGGGGCCATAAAAAATATCAGCCCTATTACTTTTGGGGCGCACCTAGCTCTTGCGTCATCATCCCAATGATCATATTTGATGATTTATTGTATACTTGTATACAACATGCTTGTCATTTTTCATTCATGATTTGTCTGCAATGATCATGCAACCCGCATGAATCCGACAGAAGGTAAATTATATATTACATGAAAAATACAGGAGCAAAAAGGAGCAGTTTTTTATTATTTTTTTGTATTTTGTTTAAGTATTTTTGTTTCTGTGGAACAAATTTTTAATAGAACACTCTAATTTTAGGGCGTTGGCAGAAGAACAAGCAAGAAAAGAAGCTCAAGCTAGAAAAGAAGAAGCGGCGAGGAAAGCAGAGTTAGCCAGGCAAGAAGCACTTGCTGCTCAAGCTGCCGCCGAAAGAGCCGCAGAACTGGAAAGACAAGCCGAGTTAGCAAGACAGGAAGAATTAGCTAAACAGGTGAAATATGGAGTGACAAAGAAAACAATTTTGTTTCAACAATTTAAAAATTTAGAATTAATAATATGTTGATGTTACACATTAATTAGACTAATTTTTTTTTCAGAGGTACTTGATGTTTATTTTTCTGTCACTAGTTTTTGCTAGTCTTAGAATCAAAACTTTTTTGACATGGACTTTGATTATAAAATGGCGTAATAACCTATCAACATAATTAAAATTTTATTTTAACAGAGTGTTTTTGTCATAGCTTTGAAGTATTTCCTGTTCGCAGGCTGAGATCGAGAGAGCTCGCCAAGCAGAAGAGGAACGGCTCCGCTTAGAGGAACAGCGCAGATTAGAAGAAGAAGCCAAAGCCGAAGAAGAACGCCAACAGCTGTTGCGACTAGAAGAGTTAGCGCGACAGGCTGAGGAAGAGAAGGAGGCCGAGCTCGCCCGACAAGCCGAGGAGCTTGCTGAGTTGGCGAGACAAGAGGCCGAACTAGCTGAAGAAGCTAAAAAACAGGCGGAAATAGAAGAATTGGCAAGACAAGAAGCAGAACTTGCTGAATTAGAACGACAAGAAGCAGAACTGGCTGAACTGGAAAGAAAGGAAAAAGAACTAGCGGAGTTAGCCAGACAGGAAGCTGAGGAAGCTGAAAGGGCCAGACAAGAAGCTGAAGCTGCCAAGAGGGAAGCTGAACTAGCAGAACTCGCCAGACAGGAAGCCGAGCTGGCTGAATTGGAAAGACAACAAGCAGAACTGGACGCCCTGGAGGCAGAAGCTAAAGCCCTAGAAGAGGAACCTCCAGTGGAAGAAGAGGAAGAAGCTCCAGCAGCGAAACGCGCAGCAAATGAAGACGAGGAAGATGAAGAAACGAGAAAGCAGAGAGAAATGGATGAAATCATACAACAAAAATTTGAATTAGCTGAATTGGAAAGGCAGCAAGCCGAGCTTGATGCTCTGGAAGCTGAAGCCAAAGCTCTAGCGGGTGATACTGATGAGACAGCTCAAGACGATGAAGATGAACCAGCTATTGCTGAAGACGTTCCTGGAGTCCAATCCGATGCGGAGGAGCAAGAAGATCTTTAAGTATCATCATTAAGTTCATGTTCGAATTTAAGACTATTACAAATTTCACAGTGCTTTTATTCTTTGCTTCTTTGGAATCGTGGCATTTAGTTATTGCATTTCACTAATTTTTTATTTTTGTTTTCGTAGGTAACTGTTTTGTTTTGTGTCCAGTCAACATTGAGATTGTTAATTATTAACTAAGAATTATTTTACATTCATGTTCATTTGCTGCACCATTTGCTTCAATCAGGATTTAGATTTTTATATAATTGTATAAAGTTTATTGCGTTTTTAATAATTTGTTAATATTTATTAACAACTGTTAATTAACTTGTAAAAAGGATTAACCTTTTTTAAAAAGACAATACGGTAAAACCTGTAATTTAAAATACTATGTATTTAAACAATTGTTTAAAATGTTAAAAGGAAATAGTATTAAATACACAGATTAATACGTAACTAAATTATCTTATAAACACTAAATTATTGATAACATTTGTAACCTTGCCATGAAATTCAGTTTGTCCTGTACCTAATATGTCGTTGTACTGGAGCTCTTTACAAATAAATCTGATAGTGTATCGAATTGATGTTCGTTTTATTACTCTTGAGCAATAATAGAGTACTAAAAAGCAACCACGTAATAAATACATTAAGATTACGTGAAGTCAAATAACAACTCCAATTTTATTTTTACTCCTTCAGGATCAGTGCGTTAGTATAGAGAGGCGTACACGGTGGAATACTTTTCTCTATGTTCCTAGTACTTTAAGAGTAATACAAAATAAAAAATGTCTAAATAGTTATCTAACGACTAACTAAGAAACAGTTTAGTCATGTGTAAATTCAAAAGGTTCGACTCGCAAAATGAAAATAATAAAAAAATGTAATGATCAGCAATATTGCTTCGAACATATACGTGAAGTAATTGAAATCATTTCTAACCAGTCAAATAGCTTTTGCTTCATTACTTTTAACTGAAAATTTCTACTTTGCAACTCATCATCCTGAAATTTTCATCTTCTCCACACAGTTTATGGCTTCTGAACTTGCTATACGATAAGCATTAACATTTTTCACCAGCCCATTATAAAGATAATGAATTGGACGTATCCTACCAGTGAACCATTAATCATTTTCGAACATATTAACCCTTAAGCTGAATCTCGCTTACTCTTACCGACGTATCCATCAACCCTTAGCACTGGATTTGTGAGAAAACATTTTGTCTGAATTTATCAATAACCTTTTAAGGTGATGCTCATTTGTCTTCATGATGGCACATCCTGATATTTTATTTGAGGTCTAATAATCTCTGTTTAAACTATTCTCTTGTCTCTAAGGATGAAGTAGTAGGAAGTTGCGCAATCCATTTTCAATAGAAAGGCAACTATGGAAAAAGACATCTTCTACGAGAACAAGCATATTATCAAAACCGTACATTAAATTCTAATTTAATAAAGACAGTAGCATTAAATTTGTTGGATTTTGCACAATGGGGTTGTACAATGTTGTACAAAAAATTAAAGATATACTTTTAGATAATTTTGTATGTTTTTAATCAGTTTCTGGTTTGAAATCATTTTGTTCAACAAAAGTACTGAACTTCATTTATGTAATTTTCTAGAGATTGGGCATTAGACAATTTTTTATAGCAAATGTAAAGATTGCGATTGAATTCATGGTTCAGTTGCTATAAGGACAATCATCACAAACAAAAGCCGTCATGCCTTAAATGGCGATTTCATTAACAGATAGCTAATGTAATTTAGACGACAATTAGAAATATGAACTGCTATTCAAAGTTCAGTCACATGCAATATACTAAACGTGAAATCGTAGCCGAAATATAGCTTATAAAACCAGTGACCTAAACCAGCATAAACAATAAATTTAACAACACTTGATATTATGGAAGACAACTACTCTGCGGACTAATGCCTCGACCACCATCGAGTCACAATATCTAATAAACAGTTAAGATCATTCGTCAGTCAGTAGAACCACTAAAACTATAACTGTAGATAGACATCAAACTAGCTAGATCGTTCGTTCGTCGTCTCACGTGTGTTTACTGATGATGATAATGGGAACTAATGAGTCGAAACCAGTGGTGGTTCTACTGGCAGATGATCTTAGCAATTTACTATTTACTAAAGCATTAGTCTGCAGAGTAATTGTTTCCCACAATAGGTAAAAACATTATGTTTCGCATAGTGCGACAATGGTCTTGATTTCGTAGTATCTGCTTTCTGACTATATTGAAGACTAGACGTAGCAGTGATCATTTAAATTGTAATGCACTTTGTCTGTTAATTGTTGCCAACAAATTTTATCACTAAACAGCTGTTGAGCAAATGCAGCATCTGCCTGGACATGGGAATTCTAATGATTTAAGGGAGCGAACAATTTTTCGCATAAGTATACAGGGTGTCCCGGTACTTGATACAAAAAATTCGAGTGCAAATAGATGAGGTCAAAATAATGTCAATTCTTCATATAAATTTTTTTCATATGGGGCTTTCATTAACAAGTTACGGGCACCCAAAAGTGAAAATTAAAAAGCTATTTTTATTTACAGTCGCTAAACTATTAACTTCAGCATGATGCAAATTCGGTGATCGATAACACATGCGTAAAGCTTGTTTTTGATGTAAGTGAAACTTCATTATGCCCAGAACGCCAGGGACGGACTATGCCCAATAGTTAACAACCCATAATTTTTGCATAGATGACGATCGCAGATGCCTATATCAAAAATAAGTTCCCTGAAGAATTTGCCAACGATAATACCCTCTTGGTTCAACTCGGTAAAATTAACAGTTTAGGAGATATTAGTGATTTTATGTCACAGTGCACATCGAGCGGCGCCTCCACCATTTTTTGTTTTTAATTTTTAATTGGTCATAATTACTATGTTAGAACCTTACATACTTTTAAAATAAGAGCCTAGAATATCTCACTATCTGCTAATGCAATTTTCAGTAACGAAATTTGATAAACACACTTTACACAACACAAAATAAATAAAACAAAACAAGAATAAGTTAAAGTAAGTTAAAAAAATATTTAAAAGAAAGAAAACTATAAAAATAAATTTTCAGTATGGGTACTTTCCACCTCCACACACTTCCTAAGTCTACGAATGTTATTTGTTTGTATACGAAAAAGCAGTTCTGGGGTATGTCTAATACTATCACAATGGAAATTAATTCTCTGTAGCAATTCATCCCTTGTCTGTACAGGGATCGCGTACACAAAATTTTTCAGGTATGCCCATAGGAAGAAGTCCATCGGATTAAAGTCTGGAAAACCTAGTGGCCATGAAATTGGGTTTCCTATTCCAATCCATTTATTATTTAGCATAAATAATTTCCTACATCAACATTCAAATGTGGAGGTGGAAGGTGCCCATATTGAAAATGTATTTTGATAACTTTCTTTCTTTTAAATAATTTTTTTAACTTTAACTTATTCTTGGTTTGTTTTTCTATTTTGTGTTATATGTAAAATGTGTTTGTCAAATTTTGTTAGCAGATTTTCGAGGCTATTATTTTAAAAATATGTACGGTTCTAACACAATAATTACGTCCAATTAAAAATTAAAAACAAAAAATGGTGGAGGCACCGCTCGATGTGCACTGTGACATAAAATCAAAAATATTTCATAAACTGTTAATTTTACCGAGTTGAACCAAGAGGATATTTTCGTTGGCAAATTCTTCAGGAAACTTTTTTTTGATACAGACAGATTGCGATTGTCATTTATGTAAAAATTATAGTTGTTAACCGTTGGGCATAGTACTTGGCGTTCTGGGTATAATGAAGTTTCATTAACAACATCAAAAACAAGCTGTATGCATGTGTTATCGATCACTAAATTTGCATCATGTTGAAGTTAATAGTTTAGTGACTGTAAATAAAAATAACTTTTTAATTTTCACCTTTGAAGGCCCGTAACTTGTTAACGAAGGCCCTAATGAAAAAAAATTATATGAAGGACTGATATTATTTTGACCTCGTCTATTTGTACACGTCTTTTTTGTTTCAAGTACCGGGGCACCCTGTATACACAGAATTAATTAAACAGATTGATTTTATTAGCCGTTGTTAATATTAATAACTTAGGGGGTATCCTCGTATAAATCGATCGAAAAATCTACTTATTTTTTTATTACACAAATCGAAAGCATAACATTTCAGGAATACTGTTAAAATTTTAAAGCGAAATTCAAAGCAGTTTAGCTGCTAGGGCTACTTTCGCAAACATCCTTCGGGGGGCGGAGCCGCGCGGACCAGGTCGATTAGCGAAAAAATGAGAGCTGCTGCCGAATCACAACAATTTGAAGTGGAAGAAGGTCTCCTTTATGGTGTAGGCATTACTGATTAGGCGAAACATGGATAAATAGCCGTGAATATAAAAAAATCGCAATTTTCATTTACCGCAAACTTCAAACTCATTTTTCTCGAAATGAAAATTTTATTTTATGCCGGCAATTACACAACGAATATTCAACCTATCGAAAAAAATCATTTTAAAGGAAATTTAATTAGCTAATCCACTAACCTAAAAGATTTTGTTAAAAATAATTATTTAATAACTTTTTTGCAAAAACAATGAAAAAACTTTCTTCATTTGTTTTTTAAATGTCCGCCATTTTGTTAATATTTTTTTTTTATATTTTTAAATTAGGTTCAAGGATGAGGTATAGGTGTTATAATAACAAAAATATTCGATTGCCATGTTTCAGAATGATACAGCGGTTGTGAAACGTGGCATAAATGAAGAAAAAAAAACCGTCTCCTATGTTCTCTTAAACTACAAATAAAATAGTCTCAAAGTTTCAAATATAAATATTTTAGTTTTCTCAAAAAAAATTTCTGAATTTCGCATTAATATTTTGCAATCTATATGAGGATACCCCCTAAAAACATGAAAGACATTATTTTTCTAACACACCAATCATCAATTATGGTAAATTCAAGTTATATTGGAGATGAATCTGATATTACAAATTTTAGAGAAAATTTTAAGATCATCAGGTAAGGAGCCAAGAATATAATTTTGAAATACTCACATATTGTATCTGTTGTTGGAAAAGCATGGAAAAGCCAAAAGAAATCAACTTTATCGAAGGCTTTCGATAAAGTTAATAAGTTTCGATTGACATCCCTCATCAATATTTGTAGAAATAAATTCAGTTATACCTACAAAGTTTTGTTGTTGTTGATTGACTGAAAAAAAAACATTCTAAATGCTCAGTGAGTATATCAAACAGAAGCATTTCAAAACACTTAGAAAAATTATTAATTAGATGTAGCTGTTTACACTTCCCCTTTTCTTAACACTGGAACAAAATATGTTCTATATTGCAGGAAGAATACCAATGAGGTTAAACAACATTGTCGATGGATTAGAAAATATTGATGCACAGTCTTTAAGTAAAAATGATGCAGTTCTATTTTAAAGTAAACGTTTTGAGACCGACTACGTGTAGTCTAGGTAACAGTGCCAGTTAAAAAATAATAGTACTTTAAACTAGAATATCTTCATATTGTACATAAACTTATCAGTTATTCATAAATGGCA